GAAAGTTCAGGGATATTATGGAGGCTTTGAAAAGTTAGACTTACAAACAAAAACTTGGAAAATTTGAAAAAAAAACAGATAGAAACAAAAAACAAAAAGGTCGCGGCTTCATAATCTGAGTAGATCAATTCATGACTATATTTTATTTCGATCTACCAAGATGATGAAACCGCGAAACTTTTCTTTTCGTTTCATATTTTTTTTGTTTTTTTTTTCACATTTTTCCTCCAAATCCAGCTTTCTGAAACCTCCAGAATATTCCTGAACTTCCCGATGGCTGATCGGCCGGTTACTAAAGAAAACTATATGCCTTTTATCGTTAAACGATTTGAAGAACGTGTTAGTCTTGAGCTAACACATCGCTATTGTGCAGAGCGATTCAGAAGAACCTTCAGAATTCAGGTAAGTCATTTCCGAAACTTTCAGAAGAATATAATTAATTTTCCGGAGAACAAATCACAGCTCTCACTCCGTTGGATTTCGCTTCAGATGACGTGACGAACTCAGATGATGTTGAGGAGCCAGCAGCTAAAAGACCAAGAGAGGCGAATCTAGAAGAAAATCTCGAATCAATAAAATCAAAAGATCACATCCCATGCGATCCAAACGTTTACGAACCACCTGGCATAAGATCGCGTACTGATTCGGATCCAGTTCAGTTTGAAGCTGTTAGAAACGTTTTTGATATATATGCTACAATGTTGACAAATCTTTTTGCGTATTCTCCATCTGATGTTATGAAATTGCAAGATATTCCGGATATGTGAGTTGTTCTCTTATTTTATTAATGTTTCCAAGTGGGAAATGAAATTCGGACTCTTACAAAAGTAGTTGAAAATCGTTCGATTTGTCTGGAAATGTTACAATATACTAAACAAAACTAGAGCTTCAGTTTTGTAGTTAAAAACTTTTTTGTAAAAATACTCCTAAACGAGATATACCGCTTGAAACTATCCATGTGCCGAATCTCTCAGATTGAACATTTTCAAGCAGTATATCTCATTCGGAGAAACTTTTACAAAAAAAGTTGTCAACTACCAAAATGAAGCTCTATTGTTACCCGACAAAATCTACTATATTTCGTAGGCATCAAAGTTTGCAAATTTTCAACTGAAAATAGGCTAAATTATTGTCATTTTCAGATTATTCTGTCGACGAATTTCCAAAGAGATGTGCGAGAAAATGGAGAAAATCTTTAAAAAAAGCTTCCGATTACAAAGTTGAAGGTTAACATTGGCATCGAATGCATTAAAGCGGCCCTATTCGATCCAAAGTATGGAGACTATCCAATGGAGATTAAATATCAAGGAAAGTAATATAAGACATTGGCAGCTTGTGATATTTTCTTTATGATGAAACATCCAGCTCTCAAGCTAATAAGCTTAGCATTCAGACTGGAAACTGACATTGAGAAACGATTCATTGATGTTTCCATGCAAAAGCTGATTGTGAGACTTCTGGAACAATTAGAACATAAAATTCATGTCGAAAAGATTTCATATACGTGTAGCAGCAAAGAGCTCTATTTTCCAAATACGGTCACAAACTATTTGGCGGAAATTCTGTAAGCTTGCCAGCCGGGAGCTCTCGAATATATCCGATTGTGGGGTGACGGGAAAACTTTGGACACTGGAGTATATACAGGGTGGCCGATAAGTATAGGACGCTCGCTTTCAGCGTTCCCTGGCACGGTGCCAAGGGATATTTTCGAAAAATTTCGAAACTTTTCGAAAGTCCAGAGACTATATAAGTAAGCTTCTCAGTCATTTGTTCTCGCTTCTCCATATCGCCGAGCTATGAAAAGTTCTCCTCATCGTCCTTCCATTGAACTCTTGTTCAAGAGAGGCCTCGGAAGTGCTGAGATCGCTCGACACCTTCAAATTTCGTCTTCGACGGTTCGAAACGTTGTCGCTGCTATCAAAAAGCGAGGAGATGCTTCTGAAGTAAAAAAAAGCGGACGTCCACGTTCTGTCAACACCCGGAATACTCGTGCAATCATCAAGAAACGGATCATTCGAAATGATGGATTGAGTCTCAATAGGATGGCGTCACAGCTTGGAATTGCCCGATCCACTGTCCAATCGATTGTCAAGAACGACTTGAAGCTCAAAAGTTACAAACTACGTCGTGGACAGTACCTCTCGGACAAATCGAAAGCGATGCGACTCGAAAAATGCCGAAAATTACTCCAGCACTTTCAAGTGCGCCGCGTCTCTGACGTTATCTGGACAGACGAGAAGATCTTCACTATTGAACCTCTTCCCAACCGTCAAAACCAGAGACAGTTATTGTCAAAGGATGACAGCATGTCTCCGAAACGTCGTCTTGCCCATAACCGCCTTTTCCCGAAAAGTGTCATGGTTTGGGCCGGTATCACGGCAACCGGTAAAACTCCGTTGGTTTTCATTGAAAGAAATGTGAAAATCAACTCGGAGGTGTACCAAAAGATTGTGTTGATGGATAATTTGTTACCCTGGGTCACTCAGCACTTTGCTGGTGGTCCATTTATCCTTCAACAAGACTGGGCACCGTCCCATGGCTCGAGATCGACATTGGCCGTCTTGGAGGCGCATTTCCCTGGATTCCTGGACAAGAACTTGTGGCCTGCTTCCAGCCCGGATCTCAATCCGATGGATTTCAGCGTTTGGGGCATGTTGGAAGGGAAGATCGCGGGAAAAGTTTTTGCTACTGTCGATGACTTGAAGGCCGCTCTCGAGGTAGCATGGGCTTCGATCGACGACGGATACCTGCGGCGCACTCTCAATTCGGTGAAGAAACGTTTGAGAGCCTGTGTCAAAGCTCGTGGATCCAACTTCGAATTTCTCTTGTAAAATCAAATTTTCTGCTTATTTTTTGTTGTTTAATAAAGGTTGTTCTCGAAAAATCCTCAAATTGAAAAAATGGGAGCACTTTCAAAACGTCCTATACTTATCGGCCACCCTGTACAAGAATCAAGGAATTTAATTTCGAAAAAGTTTATGAAACTGAGCAATGGAAGAAAGCTAATTTGTTTAAGGATGATTCCGACATTATCAAAGATTGGGCGAATCTGGTTCATTTTGGTACAATTTATCTGAATTCGCTGGATGAGAATGATTTGAAGAGTTTGCTAAATGTAAGTGTTTTCTTTTTTAATTTTGAAAATTCGTTTCCTTTTTCAGCTTACTCCAATCCAAAGAGGAATTGAAGTGGGTACTGATAAGGAATTGGATGCTAAAGATGTCTTGGCTGCGTTCAGAGGTAATGGAAAATTCGATAAGAACCCTGATTCTCCTGAATTCCAATTTCGATTCAAGTTCTATCGAGAATTAGGAGATGGACGTGTTCTGGTGTATTCTGTGGAACTTTACAGTATTATTATAATTTTTCAACTAGAAGAAGAACAGACTCCCCTTCTTTTTTGTTGAATTATCGTCTACTAACTTTTACAATGTAATTTATTATTTATTTTCTTATTATGAATTTTTTTTGTCAAAATTAATTGAATTTTCATTGAATTATTTTCAACTACAACTTAACATCGGGACACGCAAACTAACAGAAGGGAAATGAAGCTTTGAATGTCTACAAAATATGGTAGATGTAGCCAGATGAAGCTGAAAATTTCTGGGTACACTAAACAAAGATAGAGCTCCAATTTTGAAATTGACAACTTTTTTGTAAAAATTTATCCGAATGACATATGATGCTTGAACGTGCCACGGCTCTAAAACTAGCGCTATTTCGAGAATTTTTGGCACTTGGTTGGTTTTGAGCGGTATATCTTAATTCGATTAAATTGTAGAGAAAAGTTGTCAACAACAAAAATGAAGCTCTTTTTTTGTTTAGTTTACTCGGGAACTTTTAATCTTGTCTAATAACATCTACCATATTTTGTAGACACCCAAAGTTGCCAATTTTGAACTGAAATGAGGTTTTGCTTCAGTGAGAATTAACATTCACGACATTTCCAAGATTTTCAGACATTATGAAACTGAACATGTTTCATTTTGAAAGTTGTTTTCTAGATGAACTTTTTTTCAAATTTTCTCATGGATTTCGTATATTATCAACGGAATTCTGGGGTGTGAAACACTAGAAAGTTATACATCAAAACAAATTTTGGGGTTTTATTTAACATTTTTGCTGTTCCAATGGTTTGACATACATTTAGCTTTTTAAATTTTTGAATGATGTGACTCTATTTCTGAACATTTGCTTTGAAAAGCCGTTTTCTCTCAGAAAAGCAACGGAAAAGCATGGGAATTGAAACAAAACTGCTTATTTTTATCTCAATTTGATGAATTATCTTAATATGTATGTGAGGAGATTTTCTGGCCCTTTTTCTCAATGACTATGAAAAAATTATCATTAGCATTTATTAAGGAAAAAAATAATTTCTATGAGAAACATTAATTGTTTTAATAGATTGCTGTTTCATTTTGGTGATTTATGAATTACATTTTTTTTAAGGAAACAATGTATAAAAAATTACTGAAAGAAAATGTTTGTCCTTAAAATTTGAACATAGCATTGAACATCGGAAACTTACAAGGGAAGTCGTTTCAGAAAGTGGTTGAGAATTTGCTCATTTTTTGACAGTGGTTAGTTCACGACCTTGTAAACCTCCTGTCAAAATCTGTATATGCACTTTTTCCAAAAATGCTGAAAATTTTCGTCTGAAAGTTTCCACATGTTTTACCATTGTAAACCTCTTTTTCCGCCGTCATTTCGCCTCCCGGGAACATCCCAGCAACACCTTTCACATGTACACACCTCCGCACTGTTGCTTCCAGCGGTGAGATGCGTGTTCTAAGCTGAAGGTATGCGGTTCGATTCCTACTTTTGAAATTATCTTTAGTGGGAGCTTAAAATTTCGATATATCATTTCAGTTTGCTAACCGAGATTCTACAGCGTCTTCTCCTCCCCCACTTGGACCGTCATCGAAAAAGACAAAAGCTGACAGAAGTAGAAGCTTCGACGCCGTTCCAGCCAATACGATGACAGCGGAAGAGAATAATATAATTTTTAATTAATTTTTTTTTCGTTTTTCCTTGTTTTTTCTGTGCAATAAACAATTTTTAGCAGCTGCTAGCTTCCAGATTCGAAAAAATATATGCCAGTTATTGCTCTCGCGACAAGCCAATTGTGGGAGATTTGCTCGCGATAGGGCGAATATTGGTCGTTTGCGGTGGCGCGTTCGCGATTGGTCTGTAAATGGCCTGCGGCAGGCATGTTCCGATGTACCCATGGCGATTTTCCGCGAACAATATTTCACCTATTATAGACGCTGCGCAAATCACTTGTGTGGGCGTGTGTACTAAGCTGAAAGTCTGCGGTTCGATTCCTATTTTGAAATTATCTTTTGCTTTTTTTTATCGAATCCCCAGGCCTATTCTGGGCTCCAAATGTGTTTTTGACCCGAGTTTTTGAGTTTCTGCCTAGTTTCAAACTTTGAGGAGCAGGAATTATCAACTTTTTCGAAGTTAATTTTATTCGAAATTTTTGACGTTTTTGGTGGTCAATCCCATGCGAAATTTTTGATGAAAAGAATCGAAAGAGGCAAGTGAATTATGAGTGATTTCGCATTGTTCTGAATCAAAAAAAGGGCAAGAAAACCATGAGAAACTAATAAGAACTCGCAAAAATACATTCGATACGAAAATTGAGAAATTTCGAACAAAACATTTTTCATCAAAAATTTCGCATGGGATTGACCACCAAAAACGTCGAAAATTTCGAATAAAATTAACTTTGAAAAAGTTGATAATTCCTGCTCCTCAAAGTTTGAAACTAGGCAGAAACTCAAAAACTCGGGTCAAAAACACATTTGGAGCCCAGAATAGGCCTGGGAATTCGATAAAAAAAAGCAAAAGATAATTTCAAAAGTAGGAATCGAACCGCAGACTTTCAGCTTAGTACACACGCCCACACAGGTGATTTGCGCAGCGTCTATAATAGGTGAAATATTGTTCGCGGAAAATCGCCATGGGTACATCGGAACATGCCTGCCGCAGGCCATTTACAGACCAATCGCGAACGCGCCACCGCAAACGACCAATATTCGCCCTATCGCGAGCAAATCTCCCACAATTGGCTTGTCGCGAGAGCAATAACTGGCATATATTTTTTCGAATCTGGAAGCTAGCAGCTGCTAAAAATTGTTTATTGCACAGAAAAAACAAGGAAAAACGAAAAAACAATTAATTAAAAATTATATTATTCTCTTCCGCTGTCATCGTATTGGCTGGAACGGCGTCGAAGCTTCTACTTCTGTCAGCTTTTGTCTTTTTCGATGACGGTCCAAGTGGGGGAGGAGAAGACGCTGTAGAATCTCGGTTAGCAAACTGAAATGATATATCGAAATTTTAAGCTCCCACTAATTTTTGTACTATACCTCTGACAGAAGTTATCGGCTGGAAATTTTCTCGAAATCAGCGAATGACACTTCCGACTGAAATCTAAAGTTTTATCTCAGATTTTTTTTTCAAATCTACCCACCGTTCCAGTTTTTCTTCCTTCCTCTTTCTCAGTCGTTTCTTTTCCGGAGTACTCAGTGGACGTACCAGAAAATTGAGAATTTCCTGGCTCCCTGTAAAAATCGGATTTGAAATTCGGACTTTCTGAACGCTTTTTACCTTTTGAAAGTACAGTAGCAGCGCTACCTGCTGAATAAGCCAAAATTTCGACTTCTAGCTTCCGACATTTGTCTCCTGGCCATTTTTTCCAATTTTTCTGCAAATAAAAAACGAAATACTTGCTGATACAGTATTCTAGTATGCTCTTGTAGGTTAAATAATAATTTAGGGACAAAATTTGCAAAGGAAACTAAAAAAAAACGATGAAAAATAACCAAAGTAGGTGAAAGAACTTCGAAAAAGGAATAACAAGAATTTTTTCGCGACTGGTCAATTGTAGACCTTTTGGCTCTTTATGACAAGGGGGGGGGCAAGTCAAAAGGGGGGGGGGGGCCAAGTGGAAAAATTATGTCTGAGTTGATATTTACCGATTTTTACAAGTTTTGTGACCGTTTCCATTAAAATTTCGAACTTTGAACACTTTTCATAATTTTTTGAAAATTTCAGTTTAACTTCAAATTACACAGTTACAATGTAAAAAATAGTGTTGTTTATGCAAAAAACCGGCCTAAACTGAAATTTTTTGAAGTTACAAATTTTTGTGGAAACATGCGCAAAGTACGAAATTTTTAGAAACATTCGAAAAACTTGAAAAAATTATTCAATTATATAAAAAAAAAAAGGTAAATCTTAACTTAGTCCACATTTTTCCACTTGGGCCCCCCTTTTGACTTGGCCCCCCCCCCCTTTTCTCATCGGCCCCCCTTGTCATAAAGAGCCGACCTTTTTTAGAGTCAGTTAGTAAGATACGCAATGTGCTCGTGAATGTTCAATCGTAGAAGCACTAGTTTGCGGTAGGTGAGTAATTGGGTCGTTTATAGCTTTTCATCTGTAATTGGTAAATCACGAATCACCTGTGCACTACCAGTCGGCCATCTCACCGCTGGAAGCAACAGAGGTGTGTACATGTGAAAAGTATTGCTGGGATGTTCCCGGGAGGCGAAATAACGGCGAAAAGAGAGGTTTACAATGATTAAGAAATTGGAAACTTTCAGACGAAAATTTTCAGCAATTTTGGAAAAAGTGCATATACAGATTTTGACAGGAGGTTTACAAGGTCGTGAACTAACCACTGTCAAAAAATCAGCAAATTCTCAACCACTTTCTGAAACGACTTCCCTTGATAGAAAGGATAAAATCGATGACTTGCTACCAATGTCAATCGAAGCTGTCTCGGAAAATTCATAACCTTTTTGAAACAAAAAAAAAAGTTGTATTGTTCATTTTGTGTATGCCAATTTTCAATCTATTTTTATGTTCTAGACTTTCTTTTGATCCTTCAGAAGCTATTCGTGAGAAATAAAGCAACATTTTTTTTAAATTGAAGAATACTGTTTCAATTTCAAGATTTCACCATTCAAGTTTATGAAAGAAACGATAACTTACGATTTTCTCTAATAGAAGCTCACCCAAACCGCCAACTTTGAGCTCAATTATCTTATTTCCTGTGAAAGATATCAAAAAGTGGTCAACGGTCAAAATGTTCATCATAATATCAAAAATGTTTCGTCAGATGACCACTTGATATCTTTTACAGGAAGCGAGAACAATTGGCTCAAAGTTTAAGCTTGGGTTTCATATAATTGTGTTTGCGGTAACCATCTGGTTGTAAAAGGAAAATTCTCAATGTAAAACTAAATTTTTTTATAATTCTCGAAGTTTTCGAAACAGGAAATTTTGTTCAAAGAATCCATTAGAAATATACATTTTCTTGGTTTTCGAATTAGTGAAGCCTCATGAGGAGTTGCAATGTTGTGATGTCCCATTTCCTTTGACCATCTTTGGCATCTCAATATTCTATATTTTTTGCCCATATCATTTGGACGAACTAGCGTCTATGTAATCTTCAAGAACCTTCCAAAACCCTACATAATTTTTATGTTTATCTATTCAGCCTAGAGAAGCGCACACACACCAAAAAAAGAACACCATCAATTTCTCTCTATGTCTCCTGCCCTCTTTTTTCCATCAGGCCGTCTCTCCCATTTGATTCCAATCTAACCAAGACGGCCCGTTGCCCACCGCTCTCCCCGCATCTTCTTCCCCTTCTCGTTGTTCTTAGAGTGTGAAGAATAAGAGATAAAGAACGTACAAGAGAGTTTAGACATACATAGAACATGCGATGGGAGAAGACGATGCCTTCAGGTGGCGTTGCTTCAGCGTCTCTCTATTTGTAATACTATCTCGCTCAGTAGCGCAATGCGGCAACACGCCGCTGGTTGCCTTGAGGCGAGTCCAATAGAGCGCGTTTGCTTCGCCTTTGGCATGTTTTTGAATTCAATTGATTTTATGGGGTGTTAAAGGCGATAAATAACTTTTAACTTGGTTTTTCTGGCGTAAAATTAGATTATAAGAGTTTTTAAAGATTTGAATTTCAATTTTTCAATTTCAAACATGTTCAGTGATGTTTATTTCGGTTGCTAGTAGGTTGTCATAGATTTTCCCCCCGGTTTTCTATGATTTTTTTTTCTTCTAAACAGTAGATGAACGATTTTGAAAAAAAGTAAATGATTTTAAAAAGCACCCCTCTATATTTGAATTTAAGCTCAATCTCGGTTCCTATCAGAGATATCAAAATTATGGCAATTAGTAAAATATTTGTCATAATATCACCAACGTTTTATCAGTTGACCAAATTTTGATAGCTCTCACAGGAACTAAGGTAATTGAGCTGAAAGTGCAAAACTACAAGTCCTCTTATTTCTTTGGAATACCCATCAACATTTCTTTAAAATTGTATTATTTCAGACGAAAAAATGGAAAAACCAGGAGCATCCGCCCAAAATGCGCCACAGGTCCAGCCACAGGAACAACCGATGGATCACGACTCGGATATCGAGGAGTTCGAGCCCGTCATCATGACCTTCTATGCTCCAGACACGAGCGACGAGCCACCAGAAGGTCCACCAATCCCACCAAAAATCGAACGTAAGATTTCTGTACAAAAACATCATGTGGCTGTACAAGTTATGGCTCCAAACCCTGACAACCCGATTGTCTTGGATGATGACGAGCCAGTGATACTCCAACCAGAACCGATTGCTCCACCAGCAGAGCCAGCAGTTGTCGCACAGGTTAGTGTTTGGAATTGGCAAGTTTTATATGATTTGTTTAACAGGGACAAGAACCTAATCCAAATCCTCAGGAACCTGAAATAGTCGAAATTGAGGTAAGGGGAATCGTTCGAAATTGGGTTTAGCCGGCTCCGAAAAGATAATTTGACCTAAATTTAAATTTCGGTTTCGAAAAGCAGGTCCATGTTAGTTTTTAAGAAGCTTAGCTCAGTTTTTTGCAATTATGCTCAACTAATATTTTGCCTAGGAGCTCAAAAAGCTTGTGGAGACAAAACCAATGAGACATTTAGCCGATTCGACCGATACTAAGCCAGAAACTTGAAAAATTTTCCTAATATTTGATTCTGCAGCTTCCACCAGAACGAATTGCTGAACCAGCACCTGCAGAGCCAGTACAAGCTGTTCCAGAAGTTATGCCAGCTGTTGCTCCACAAGCTGAGCCAGCTGTAGCCGAGCCAGCGCAGCCAGCAGTAGCTCCACCAGCGGAGCCAGTTGTAGTCGAGCCAGAATTAGCTGAGCCAGAGCCAGCCGAGCCAGGACCAGTCGAGCCAGATGAGCCAGCAGTTCTGCCAGAATTAGAGGAAGAAATGGAGCAAGAAGACGTCGAAGAACCAGTTAAAGTCAGGAGAAGTGCTAGGGTAATTAACTTTTAATGTTATAAATTAGGCTAAAACTTGACTTCGCTAAAAAAGGTCAATTTTCTAAATCTGGGTTTTAAGCCTTTTTTCGACCTCTAAAGTTAACCACTTCAATCTTTACAGCGTCGTCGAGCGTCAACACCACCGGGAGTACGTGGATCAGGACGTCCACCAAGAAGATCATGCACCGTAAGCAGTCCTAAACGCCCTGCGCGTCGTTGAGAAAAGTCCGATGTGAGTTTTTGGTTCTAAAAATGGGTACCGTAAAACCTGTAATAGAAGAGCACTCCAACTTTTAACTTTGAGCCTAGTTATTTTGATTCATGTGAAAGATTCGAAAAAATTGTCAACTGATAAATTGTTTATCAAAATATCACAAACATTTCATCAGTTGACACGTTTTTGACATCTTGCTCAAGAAGTTCCTGTAAGAGATATCAAAAAGTAGTCAATTGATACAATGTATAACATAATATTATAAACATTTTGTTAGCTGACCTTTTTTTGATACGTCCAACAGGGACCGAGATAAATTGGGTTAAAGTTGACAGGGGCACTTCTATTAGGGGTAGCTAAAAAATTGTATTTTTCAAGCGAGAATATGTATTTAAAAAAATGAATACATATACCATAAAACCTGTATTAGTCTCTAAAGGTCCCTCTAATTGAAAGGTCCTCGGTCCTTCTAATACAGGTTTTACGATAGTTTTTGAAGATTTCAATAAAAACCTCCAAAAAAATTCAGGTCCAACTGTTCTACGGATTCCAATCTCCACATAATCCTCCATTTTTTAAGGATCGTTCGATACTTTTTGTTTTTCTTAATTTGCCGGTTTTATACCTGTCTCAAATTTTCCCGATTTTCCTATTATTGATAAAAATTTGGTTGAAAAATAAAGTGTTTTCTTTAATGATTTAAATATTTTTGATAATTCATTTTATGTGTTCCATGACACTATTGTATACCGTTGTTGACTTTTTGTTCATTTTTAATCTAATTATTACTTACAGATATAATGGACAACGCCGAGCCAAACCCTGCTCCACAGCCCCTCCGAATCAACTATGAACAGATTGTAAGACTGATTGAGGGTGAGCTAGCGCATGAGCCACAAGAGCAACGACAGCAAATGATCGTGAATATTATATATGAAGCTGAAAGGCAAAGAATTGAAATTGTTCGAGAAGCCAATCCTAAATGCGAGAGTACATTTTTGACGAATTCTACGTAGTGAGAAGAGTACTTGATGATCTCGAGCATGTGCATCGTCTCTGGAGGGACCAACCACAAGATCATAGAGCTCGAAGTACTCAATTTCTGACCTCCGCAGGAACGAAACTTCGATTTATTCGAGATGTGATGAGAATGTGTGTGCACTATCATGAGAATGTTTTACGAGTATTAGAAGGAGAAGAAGGAAGGCAGTATCGATATTATCAGTTGATGTTAAAGATGAATGATGCGGTGATGCAGCTGATAAGCCATGCTCGTGAGTCCCCGGAAATTGGGGATGGTCTGATGGACTTCATTAGAAATGAATTAGCAACACGAGAAGATGAAAGGGGCTTGACTGCCGATGAAGAACGCTACACTCGAGAATTGAATGGATACGAACCTCCGCGAATGCCGCAAGAGCAAGCAGATGTGAACCTCGCACAAATACAAATCATGTTATCTCAAGAACAAGTCTTTAATGAAGCATACGAGGAGGAAATGAGATTAGTTCTGAAGAATCTAGAGTCCGTACAAACTTCTCTGAGACGTCAACCACAAGCTAGGCAACTTGCATTGGAAGAGAATCTCCCTCTTGCATCACTCAGAATTCGAATGGCTGGTTCTTATGCGAGAATCAGTGAGGAGAAACTTGTCGGAATTCGGGGCCCAGCTGAAATTCAAGAACCATTTCGTCAGTATTATGAAGAGATGGCGATGACAATATCACAAAAGGAGGAATGTGTGTTCGAAATGATAGCACGTCTGACGGATGAGATGTTGTTGGCTCTGGTGGAGCGTCAAATTAATGCAACCAAAAACGAGTTGAATGCTCGAAGACGTGAGAAGAATCTGATATAGGCTTGGTTGGAATCGAGAGGGAAATTGGGTACTGGAGATCGTCAATGAAGAGGATCGGCAGGAAGATCGGCAAGAAGATCAGCAGGAAATAGCAGTGGAGGAGCAAGCACCACCTCCGAATCGACGACGGCTACATCCAGACTTTGATATGTTGTCTAACCTTTTCCACCAACGCATTCAAGAGTTTGAGAACAGGATCCAGAGGGCAGTCCCTGTCCCAAATGAAGAGAATCGGCTAGCACAAGCGCTGCAAGCACAACAAAATGCGTTGGTCCAGATACTAGGGAATGATGTTGGTGGAGCAGCACTTCCAGCTGGTGAGCAGGATGCGGAAGTGGTGAGGAATATTTTGATGGAAGAGGAAGAGGATGGTGACCAGGAGGATCAAGCTGGTGATGATGATGAAGAGGAGATGGCTCATTTTCAAGGAACATGGCGAAGAATTGTGGGTTTTTTGTGGTTTCGGAGTCAAAAACTAGGGAATATGTGTTTATAGGCGCATCATTTCTTACCGAAAGTGTTTGTCAAAATCGAACATTTCAAATTTCAGCCTGAAAGTCTCAAACTTCATCTACCACCAAACAAGACTAATTTATGGATCAATTGGAATGTGAGTTTTTTAAAAGGGACTTCTACTACAGTCTGGTTTTTGTAAACTAAAAACATTTCAACTTCGAGTAACCATATCTCGGTTCCTGTGAAAGATATCAAAAAATCCTTTATTGGTAAAATGTTACTGATGTCATGATAAACATTTTACCAGTTGAAAATTTTTTGATATCTCAAACGGGAAACGAGAAAATAAGGTTCAAAGGAGCGATCTTTTTGAGGAGTTTCACAGAATTTAAAAAAATTCAAGTGTTATTCAAACGTGATTAAAAAATTTCAAAAAAATTTTGAAAAAATTTAAAATTTTGACCCTATACCATACGTGAATTGGTTTAGTGGCCCACGATCCTTGACCCCAGGGCGTTCGCTATAATAGAAGAGGGAAGGGGAGGAAAAAATCAGTTATCGTGTTCTCTGGGCTCCAGAGAGGTGAATGGATCCGGTGATCCGGTGATCCGCAGACCCGGTGGTCCAGAGATCCGGTGACCTGGTGATCTGGAGATCCGGAGATCCGATGATCCGATGATCCGATGATCCGATGATCCGATGATCCGATGATCCGATGATCCGATGATCCGATGATCCGATGATCCGATGATCCGATGATCCGGGTGACCTGGTCCCTGGGTTCTGGATCCGGGTGACCTGGATCCGGGTGTCCTGGATCTGGGTGACCTGAATCCTGGTGACGTGGATCCGGGTGACCTAAATCCGGGTGACCTGGATCCGAGGGACCTGGATCCGGGTGACCTGAATCTAGGTGACCTGGAACCTGGGTTCTGGATCCGGGTGTCCTGAATCCATGTGACCTGAATCCGGGAGACATGGATCTGCGTAACCTGGATCCTGGGTCTTGGATGCGAGTGACCTGGGTCCGGGTGATCTGAATCCTGGGTCCTGGATCCGGGTGACCTGGGTCCTCGGGTCCTCGCGTCCTTGGTCCTTGGATCCTCGGGAACTCGGGAACTCGGGTCCTTGGGTCCTTGGGTCCTTGGGTCCTTGGGTCCTTGGGTCCTTGGGTCCTTGGGTCCTTGGGTCCTTGGGTCCTGGGTCCTCGGCTCCAGGGTCCTCTGCTCCTCCATTTTTTGGCCCCACCGTACCAATTTTTTCAGGAATACGACGTCATGGAATGGTCCCGCCAGTTCCTTCCCGAAGTCGTCGACTACCTAGTAAGCTTCTGGCTGAGCTACCCATTTGCAGCCTAACCGATATGAACAGATTAACGATCAAAGTACCCAATTTTCGTTTCCAGGCATACGACGTCATGGAATGGTCCCGTCAGTTCCTTCCCGAAGTCGTCGACTACCTCGTACCCCTCGAGATGGACGGTAGGGGCCTCTACAATTTTGTCAACAACCCAAACGAATGGTGCTTTGACAAAATGCCATTGGGTTACTATTTGAAATTGATGAGCAATTTGAATCGAGTCATTAATGATTATAATAACCATGCTGTTGAATATTAGGCTATACTTTTTCATTCATATCAGTTTTTTTTGTCTGGTATTTTTTTGTCATACGGTTTTTCTATTGTTTTATGGTTTATCGGTGCTTTTCACGAAAAATAAGGTTTACACTTTCAAATGCTCTTAATGTTGATTTCTATGTGTTCCATGACACTTTTTGAATATCGTTGTGTCCTTTTTTCTTTTTTTTTTTCTTCTAATGCTTACTTACAGAGCTTATGGACAATGCAGAGCTGAACCCTGCTCCACAGCCCATCCAAATCCAAAT